CAGCCTCGGCCCCGCCTCCCGAGCGCCGAGGCCCCGTCGGCGGCTGCGTCCGCGACCCCGCGGTCTCGGTCTTTCTTCCACCATGCCGCTCTACGAGGGCCTGGGGAGCGGCGGGGAGAAGACGGCGGTAGTAATCGACCTGGGAGAGGCCTTCACCAAGTGAGTGGCGTGGCGCCTGGTGCGGTAGGCCCGAGGTGGGGCTGGTGGCGGAGCCCCCAACACGGCGAGGTCTTCGTCTCAGACTAGCTGGGCGGTTCCGGGCCTCCCGCTCTTCTTCCAGCGCCCTTGCCAATGGCCGCGGTTATCTCCACCGTGGGCGATGCGAATCCTGAGGATCGGGTAGGACTGTCGGGGTCTGTCTCCCAGAGGGGCCGGGAGAATTGCCCCCGCCGCCGCTTCGGGTCGTCATCCCAAACCGAACAGACCCTTGGGGATCACGTATGCAGGGAATGACAACGATGACCCAGACCCCGCTTACTCCGGGCTCGTCTTATTAGGAAGGCAGCAACTGAGTTGTTAATGCTTGGTGGCGATCTCCATCATAAAACATTTATTGAATGGAGCTTCTTGGTGCTGGATACACACATGTGTTCAAGACAGGACTGGTGCTCCTTAAGATTTAGGTAGACTGGTCACATAAAAAGAGGTGAAACCCTATAGACAAGACGCTGAAAATCCTGTTGTCCCCTCCCCAAATTCTTAGATTAGATTTAGTGTTCTGTAATGCAACTTTTAAACACTAGAGAGGAGGTTCTCGATGTTTTGAATGGCATAGGTTCCTTAGCGGCCAGATGAAAACCACAAATGCGCAACCCTAGGATATTTGCACACAGTGTCAGGGGATTGGGTGGACCATCATTGTGGTCCTTGGGCCCCAGATTAAGAGTCCTTGTACTGGGGTCTAGAGAGAGGAAAGTGACAGGCAGTTACATAGATAAATAGATAGATAAGATAGATAGAGATTTCTTAGAAACATTTGAAAAAATCCTTGTATATCTCTAAGCACTTCCTAACATAGTAGGTATTTGATAACTGTTTGTTGAATAAATGGTCAAAAGAGCTTGTTTAAAAATTGGACCTCAGGAGCTCCAGATTGTATTAAACATAATCCTTGGTTAGTGTCATTTTCTTATTCTATGCAAGGCCCTCCCTTGTTAATTTATATTTTCCTATTTATTTTAAAACTTATATTGACAACATAATAAATATCGTGAGGCTACTATTCAAAGATAATTATTATGCCTATATATAGGAGAAATTAGCAAAATAGCTACAGATGAAGATTATTGAAAAAGTAGGAATGTGATAAAATGAATATATGAAGTAAAAGAAAAGAATTGAAGCTACCTCATGGGTTGCATTCTGGGATGTTTGAAGAGCATGGGGTGCAAGTTAACTTGGAGATGGGAATGGTAGAAGATGAAAAGGACTATTTGGGACTAGGAGAACAGTACCAAAAACTGGACAGCACAGGAAGAGATGATATTAAGACAGAATTAGGCTGGGTTAGGTGGCTCACGCCTATAATCCCAGAACTTTTTTTTTTAAATATAATTTGCTTTAATAAAATAGTAGATGAATTCAAGCTGTGTCATAAACATATTGATAGATCGATTCCCAGAACTTTGGGAGGCCAAGGTGAGAGGATTGCGTGAGTCCACGGGTTTGAGACCATCCTGGGCAACTTGGTGAGACCTCATCTCTACATTAAATCAAAAAATTGGCTAGACATGGTGGCATGTGCCTGTAGTTCCAGCTACTTAGAAGGCTGAGGTGGAAGAATCACCTGAGCGCAGCAGGTCGAGGCTGCGGTGGCCAGGAGTGTGCCACTGCTCTCCAGCCTGGGTGACAGAGTGAGACTCCAACAGCAACAAAAAAGACAAAATTAGATGATGATGTTTTTTAACAAAGTTTTGTTTTACTCGCATGAAATATGGAAATAGCTAAATACTCAAGAAGGGAAAATAATTTTTAAAAGAATGAAATGTGCAGTTTTAAGCATATGTTAATATGGGCAGAAACTTATTGTATGAGTTCATTACACATTAAGTAATAACTATGTCAAAGATGTATGCATAATTTTTAAGATAGACTGAAAGCAAAAGTACCAATATGGAATGATATTATATTATTAGATAATGATATTAGAATGCTGGAATTAAGAGTGATTCATGAATTATATGAGTCAAGTCACATAATAGCATATAGTTTCAGGGTTATAGGTATGTTTTGCCTAAAATTCAACAAAAATTAAAAATTGGGAGGAAAAAGTAAATGCTACCCTAAAATAATACACTGGTTTATTTCAGTATCACTCATTTGGGATATTTGCATTTTTTCCTTTGATGCATGATTATTAATAGATAGTATTAATTTCTTTGTTTTGTGGGGTGTTTTTTTTTAGCCCTTTGAATGTATCAGAACTGTTTCCATATGTTTTTGTGGCCTTCGTTTTGAAACAAATATAGAAAAATTTGTTTCTGTGACAAATATTTAGAAAGACTATTATAAATTGAGTGCTTCATTTTTTAATTTACAGGTGTGGATTTGCTGGAGAAACTGGTCCAAGATGTATAATTCCTAGTGTGATAAAAAGAGCTGGGATGCCTAAGGTATTTATTGTAAACAAATTAGCAAAATAATAACTGTACTATAAAATATCTTAAAATACAACTTAAGCTGGGTGTGGTGGCTCATGCCTGTAATCCCAGCTCTTTGGGAGGCGAGAGGATTGCCTGAGCCCACAGGCTCGAGACCAGCCCAGGCAACTTGACAAGGCCTTGTCTCTACAATAAATCAGAAAAATTAACCAAGCAGGGTGGCACGTGCCTGTAGTTCCAGCTACTTGGAAGACTGAGTTGGAAGGGTCACTTGAGCCCAGCAGCTCAAGGCTGCAGTGTCCATGAGCATGCCATTGCACTCCAGCCTAGGAGACATAGTGAGACTTTGACTCAAAAAAAAAAAAAAAAAATACGACTTCGAATAGATTGATTAGTACAGCTGAACACAGTGACTCAAGCCTATAATCCCGGCACTTTGGGAAGCTGAGGCAAGTGGATTGCCTGAGCCCAGGGGTTCAAGACCGACCTGGGCAACTTGGTGAGACCTTGTCTCTGCAATATATCCAAAAATTTTCTGGGCATGATAGCATGCACCTATAGTTCTGGCTACTTGGAAGACTGAGGCAGAAAGACCACCTGAGCTCAGCAGGTCGACAGGTCGATGTTGGGGTGGCCATGAGCGTGCCATTGCTCTCCAGCCTGAGTGACAAAGTGAGACTCTGACTTAAAAAAAAAAAGATTGATGAGAACATTGTTAAATATACAACTTATGGCTATATTTCCAAGAGGAAATTTTTTAAATCAACTTATTATGGCCTAATTTTGCATACCATAAATTTATCATGTTGTGCAGCCGTCACCACGAACCAGTTTTAGAATATTTTTATCACCCCAATAAGATCCCTAATGTCCATTTACTTTCCTTTTCCTGTCGGGGTCTCACTCTGTTGCCCAGGCTGAAAGGCAGTGACAAGATTATGACTCACGACAACCTTGACCTCCTGGGCTCAAGGTGATCCTTCCACCTCAGCCTCCCAAGTAGCTGGGATTACAGATATGCACCACCACACCTGGCTAATTTTTTTTTTCAGAATTTTTTGTAGAGATGAGGTCTTGCTACATTGCCCAGGTTGGTGTTGAACTCCTGCAGTTCTCCTGCCTCAGCCTCCCAAAGTCCTGGGATTACAGGCATAAACCACCACACCAGGCCCCTGTTTACATTAGTCCTTATTCCTATACCCAGCTTATTACTGATGTACTTTCTGTTTCTATATACTTGCCTTTTTTTTTTAACATTTAATATAGATGGAATCATATAATATCAAGAGAAAGTTTTTGACCTTAGTAAAATATTTTATGTATTATAACAATATAATCACTGAATAATTTAATCTTACCTTATTTACAATATGTTGAGTCTTTATTCCCTTATCTATAAGTCCAAAATTCAAAGATTTTTTTTAAAACAAACTTTTTTAAAAGTAAGTTTCTTGCCGGGCTCAGTGGCTCAGCCTGTAATCACGCGCCTTTGGGAGGCTGAGGTGAGTGGATTGCCTGAGCCCGCGGGTTGGAGACCCGCCTAGGCAGCGAGACCTCATCTCTACAATAAATCAAAAAATCAGCTGGACATGGTAGCGCATGCCTGTAATACCGGCTACTTGGAAGGCTGAGGCGGAAGGATCGCCGGAGCCCAGCAGGTCGAGGCTGCGGTGGCCGGGAGCGGCCACTGCACTCCAGTCTGGGTGACTGAGTGAGACTCCAACTCAAAAAACAAAAAAAAGGTAAGTTTCTTGCCAAGGATAATTTGGCAGATTAGGAATTACAATCAAGGAATTACAACCTGTAGAAAGATTAACTGTGGAGCTGGGCACGGTGTCTGACACCTATAATCCCAGCACTTTGGGAGGCCAATGTGGGAGGATTGCTTGAGCCCAGGAACATAGTGAGACTTTGACTCTACAAAAAAATTTTTATAAGAATAGCTGGGCATAGTGGTACATACCTATAGTCCTAGCTACTTGGGAGGCTAAGGCAGGAGGACCATCTGAGCCCAGGAGATTGAGGCTTTGGTGAGCTGTGGTTGTGTCACTACATTCCAGCCTGGGCAACAGAATGAGACCTTGACCCCCCACCCCCACAAAGAATAATTGTGCATGCCATAAAATTCACCTGCTAAAAAAGAAGATGCAGGTGTTTCTGTAATACCATGTATGCCTTCCTGAAAAACCTTTGTTTTACAAAATAGTACATTTAAAACAAAACAGAACAAAACAGGCTTATGGGAAAAATTAGTGTGGGGTAGACCATACAAAACCTACGTAACTGTAATCGGAGAGCTAGCAAAAACAATTGATGCCTTGGGAAAATATGAATAGCATTAACTGGCAACTAAGTATGGCTGGAGCTATCTTGGGGGTACTAAACAAAAGTCTTGGATTGGAAATGCTGGCCAGTGTATGCTGAGACAGTGCAGATACAAGCAAGCTCTGAGCCAGTGGAAATGTTGTTAAGCGGAGACTAGGAGAAAACACAGCCCAATAAAGTCATGAAAGGATCCACTCTGCAGGGGGAGCCCCTGGTTATTTTCACTTCCTTAAATCTGAAATGATACATACCTGTGTGACAGTTGAGTTGATGCCTTTCTCTGTCTTGATGAAAGTTATAAGTCTGGTATTATAATTTTGACTCCTCTTACCTTATATGAATTAATACAACTTTAACATTATACTGACATTATACCCTTATTTAGTAAATTCATATGACCACATTTGGTTTTATAAAAACACATAGCATAATAGCCTATATCATCTGTTTATATTTGGCATTGAACTGTATCAGAAATCTTTGTGATTACATTTAATTAGAAATAATCTCATTGATTTTAAACTTTTCTGTAAATTCTTGGACAAGCCAGAACTATAATAGATGTTTGTGATGTTGTATTACAGAATGTGATGTAAATTCCCACTCATTAATTTTTCATGCCTTTTTGCTTTATAATAATTGGCATTACTGTGCCACTAGATAGATTTCTGACTGTAACTTATATATAATATTTTATAAATAAATAATTTTACCCCTTACATTCTTATTAGCATTTTTCTTAGTGCATTGAGTTTTTATCTTCATTTGAAAATACAAGTATATAAAAGATTACCTGTAATTTGACTATATAGTTTGGAACCTTCTTCAAGTCACCTAAAATCAAGAAATTAGCCAAGCTAATGGTCTTTCTTTTGAAAGGATAGGTGAAGAAAGGTCTGCCTTTCTTCCAGTGTATCAAATGCTCAGAGCTCTCTGAGGATCATAAGCAAAGCCCTATTTATATTTAGTGTTGCGTTAGCCCTCATGGTTTGGTAGTGCTTGCATATGCTGCTTTTGTGATAATGGCATTTGCTCTCATTTTCATCATACATATTAATGAACAACCTACTACATGCCTAGCACTATATCATTTGAAGAAGGATATATCATAAGCAAGCCAGAAACAGTTCTTACCCCATGGAGCTTATAGTCTAGCAGAAAGGTAGACATTTTACAGGTAATTAAGTGTGGTAATGTTGCAAAAGGAAAGGTTTCAGTGCTTTGGGAATGACTAATAGGGACTGAACCAAGTTTGGAGTATCTGAGGAAGCCTTTGATGCTTTTTAATCAATGCTGATTTGTATCAGTCATGCCAGAAGTTTAAGTCAGATGGAGGGAAAAATGCATATGAGCACAACTTTTTACCTTTGAACACATACTTCTTTTATCACCAACTAAAAATTACATTATCTTGACATGCCAGTTCTTAAGGATTCCCAATTCAAGAGATTAATCTGTATTTAATTATTGTATTCTCAGTACAAATTGTTTTCTTATTTATTATCAGCAAATGTATTAGTAAAATAAATATATTTTAATTTTGCTTTGAAACTATTTTTTCAGCATAAATTCACAAATTATTTAAATTTTTTGCAGCCTATCAAAGTTGTTCAGTACAATATCAATACAGAAGAATTATATTCCTACCTAAAGGAATTCATCCACATACTGTATTTTAGGTAAGATGCAATTGGTTTTTTCCCTAGCTTTTGTAATTAAACAGATTTTCCTATTGCCTAACTGCTTGTATTATATCTAATACAAGTGCTAACTGCTTGTATTATATCTAATACAAAAAAATGACTTCTGTTGCCATTTTTACATGCTTCTTTTCAAATATATTTGAAGACTAGAAAACTGGAAAACATAAGGAAATATTGAAAATCAAATGTCTGTTAATAAAGGAGATTAAGTTATTGAACATACAGTGAAATATCATGCAGCCATTAAAAAAAGCTTTCTGATTTGGGCGTGGTGAATCACGCCTATAATCCCAGCACTTTGGGAAACAGAAGCAAGAGGATTGCCTGAGTCCAGGCTTTCAAGACAGCCTGGACAATTTGGCAAGACCTCGTCTCTACAATAAATCAAACAATTAGCCGGGCATGGTGGTGCACGCCTGTGGTTCCAGCTACTTGGAAGACTGAGGCAAAAGGATCACCCAACCCCAGCTGGGTGAGGCTGTGGTGGCCGTGAGACTCCTACTCAAAAAAAAAAAAAAAAAGCTTTCTGTATCTCTATGTAGTAGTACAGAAAGGTGCCTTAAATATACTGATCAGTGAAAAAAGTAAGTTGAAAAATTGCATCTATGGAGTGAATATTTTTGTTAAAATATATGCCTACACATCCATAAGAATGAAAACATATACAGACTGCTATCAATGGTAATTTTGGGGTAGGAGGAGTGTAAGGTTCTCGTACTTTTCAAGTTAAAAATGTATAATATTTGGAGCTTTGTGAACATATATTTTGTAAAGTAAAAAAAGAAGATATCTATTTAATGGCTCAAGCAGTAATCATAGTAGGCTGTAATTTTAGTTTTCCGAGATGAATGAATAGACTAAAATTTCTGGAACAGTGTGTGGCACATAGTAAGAAGTCAGAAACAATATCTTACTGGGGTAATGAAATGAAGATGTCTTGTTATCACGAAGTATCTTAAGCTGAGGTAGTATAATGTCTCTGTTCTTAACAAATTGGATTATGTACCAAAATAAATACAGACTTTTGTTTTTAAAAACCAAACTGTCACTTTTCAGGCATCTATTGGTGAATCCCAGAGACCGCCGAGTTGTGGTTATCGAGTCGGTATTATGTCCTTCCCACTTCAGAGAGACACTCACTCGTGTTCTTTTCAAATATTTTGAGGTACCTGTTTTTAAATCAAATGAGTAAATTGCTTTTAAAGTAGGAAGAGAAGCAATCAAATTCTGAGTAGTTTTTAGGGACTGTTTCTTCTTTTTTTTTTTTTGGTAGGTATTTAAAACTTAAATAAGTCTTCCTTTCATCTCTTTTATATACTACACAGTGTAGCTAAGGATCCAGATGACAGAAGCATCTTCATGTTCTTTGTATGGTTAATTCGTGGTTAATTAGCATTTCATCCAACACTTAGATACTTGGAGATTTATTTTTATTGGTGTTTGTTATTTCTCTTAATGTAGGTGTTTCTATTTGGTACTTTTTTTCCAGAATTAAAAGGTATATTCTGTTCTGTAGAGTTTGTGATGTATTTCTTTCAGGTCTTTCTAGTTTTCATTATTCAGTTCTGCTGTTCTGAACTATTCAACTCTTTCATTTTAGGCTTTAAATTCCTTTAAAATGGAATATTCAGTGTTTCCCTTAGAATAAGTAAGCATCGCCAGAAATGAGACTTACCTTGTGATATTAGTAATATTCTTTGTAACTTTCATATTATAAGAATCAAGATTACTTTAAGACCATTAATATCTTTTGTAGTAGACCAAAATCTTCTTTATTTAAATTTTTTAAAATCTCTGCCATGAAATGTAGGTCTTTTTCAGCAAAATTGTATAAAATGTGTTCGGTAGATGAGAAATTAAGCACATATAACTGTATTTTCATACATTCTACTGAATTCAAAATATACCTAATACCAAAAATCACAATGTCTTTATGCGGTAAGGATAGTTAATATTTCTAAGTTGTACGTTAGTAAGGCAAGTACAGAGAAGTAGATTGCATAGACTCCTGCACTTACTGATGTCATAGGCTCAGGAGTTTCATTTGTAGTAGGGAGAGCACAAAACAAGAAGTCATATCTGCTCTTACCTGAATAAAGTAGAAGATTCTCTGTGTTTATACTTAGAGTTTATGTTAATATCCGTATCTCATATATGACTGGAAACATTATTTAGATAAGGGAAATACAGCCATTATTTTGTCTGTCATTTGATTATGATGGACTTTCATATTTTGATTGAATATCTGGTATTCTAGGTGTTATCAGATCTGGCAAGTTCTTACTGGAAAATGTCACACAGAGCCAATTATTTTTATAGTTTAACTGCTGTAATACAGTGTTTTTAAAATATAGTTCAACTAGCCAGGAGTGGTGGTATGTTCCCCTGGTCTCAGTTACTTGGCAGGCTGAGGCAGGAGGATTACTTGAGCCCAGGAGTGTGAGACTTCAGTGAGCAATGATGTCACCACCGCACCCCAACCTGGGTGATGAGTAAGACCTTGTTTCTTAAAAAAATTAAAAGAAAGTGGCTGGGCGCAGTAGCTCATGTCTGTAATACCAGTACTTTGTGAAGCGGAGATGAGAGGATTGCCTGCGTGCAGGGGTTCAAGACAAATTTGGGCAACTTGACGAGACCTCATCTCTGCAATAAATCAGAAAAGTAGCCAGGCATGGTGGTACTTGCCTGTAGTTCCAGCTGCTTGGAAGGCTGAGGTGGAAGTTTCACCTGAGCCCAGAAGGTCAAGGTTGTAGTGGCCATGAGTATACCACTGTACTCCAGCCTGAGCAACAGAATAAGACTCCGACTCAAAAAAAAACAAGAAATAAAATGTGAAAAAAAATTAAAAGAAAATATGTAGTTCATATTACATATGAATAAAGACAGTCAGGAATTCTTTTTTTTTTTTTTGAGTCGGAGTCTCACTCGTCGCCCAGACTGGAGTGCAGTGGCCGCTCCTGGCCACTGCAGCTTCGCCTGCTGGGCTCTGGCAATCCTTCCGCCTCAGCCTTCCAAGTAGCCAGAATTACAGGCATTGCGCTACCACGTCTGGCTGATTTTTTGATTTATTGTAGAGATGAGGTCTCGCTGCCCAGGCTGGTCTCGAACCTGCGGGCTCAGGCAATCCACTCACCTCAGCCTCCCAAAGGCACGGGATTACAGACTGAGCCACCGAGCCCGGCTAGGAATTCTTTTTCTGTATTTTAATCTTGATAGTAAAGGTATCTCTTTATTTTAATTTAGCTTCTTCCTCTAAATTTATGTTTCTGAACGTCTTTTATCTCTTTCAATTTTCCCCTCTAAAAGAGAATGAGAATTCATAAAAAGATTTCATAATTGTCATTTTGGAATGGAATAGCTTAGCTTAAAGTGTTTTTATTTATTACAGTATATTTTGGTTATTGAGTACATTCATATAAATCAACAAACTATTTCTTACTCAGTGCTATAAAATGGTTGAATATTCAGGTATGATAATATAAGTTAACATGATGTTCCTATGAATTGTTTCAAATATATTTTAATATAAGGCACATATCTTCAAATACTAACATTTATTCTGGTTTTGTTGTTGTTTTGATTTTGTTGTTTTCTAGGTTCCATCTGTCTTGCTTGCTCCAAGTCATCTAATGGCTCTTCTGACACTTGGGATTAATTCTGCCATGGTCCTGGATTGTGGATATAGGGAGAGCCTGGTGTTACCTGTATCTTTTTTGTCAAGCAGCCATTTTTCAGTTTTTACTCTACTTTAAAATAATTAGGCTTATTACAAATGATTTTTATTGTATTGATCTATTTTAGGTTACCGTGTACAAATATGAATGTCCATGTGGAAAAAAGTTCACAAGATTGTAACTTTATAAATGTTATTAGGTGGACTGGGTGGGTGGGTGACTCTTGTAATTCCAGCGTCTTGGGAGGCTGAGGCAGGAGAATTCTTGAGCCTAAGAGTTCAAGACCAGCCTAGGCAACATACCAAGACCTCATCTCTACAAAAAGCCAGTAAATTAGCTGGGTGTGGTGGTGCATGTCTGTAGTCCCAGCTGCTCTGGAGGCTGAGCCGGAAGGATCACTTGAGCCCAGGCGGTCGAGGCTGCAGTGAGCTGTGATCATGCCACTGCACTCTAGCCTGGGCTACAGAGTGGAAACCCCCCCAACTAAAAAAAAAAAAATTAAAGGAAGTTATTATGGTGATTTGGACTTAAGATACACTCCAGGAGCAGATCTCATGAATATTATGTTCATTTTTTTAAAGGATAGCTAACCTAGTATATGTTAAAGAAGTTGACTACGGTACTCAAGCTCTAAGAAGAAAAATAGTACAAAGAGTAATTGGAGAAACTGAAGTGAGAAAATTCAATAAGAAAAAAATCAAAGGCCAGGCGCCATGGCTCACGCCTATAATCCCAGCACTTTGGGAGGCCAACGTGAGAGGATTACCTAAACCCACAGGTTCAAGACCAGCCTGGGCAACTTGACAAGACTTCATCTCTACAATAAATCAAAAAATTAGCCTGGCGTGGTGGCACATGCCTATAGTTCCAGCTTACTTGGAGGCTGAGGTGGAAGGATCACCTGAGCCCAGCAAATGGAGGCTGCAGTGGCCACCAGCATGCCACTGCACTCCAGCCAGGGCAACAGAGTGACACTCCAACTAAAAAAAAAAAAATCAAAATTTAATGGCAATATGAAATGTAAGTCCACTGTAGAAAAGTGAATACATTTCTTCCTCTCCAGAGGCAATCGTGGGGGCAGTATGCCATAGGGTTTATGAACTTGGGTTTTAGAATCAAATACATAAGAAGTACAAATCTCAGCTATGCTTCTTACTATTTGCATGATGTCAGTCAGGTAACTTAATCCCTTTGCACCTCAATTTATCTATCTATGAAACGGATTATAATATTTCCATCTCATGGGAGAGTTGTGTTGGTTGAGTGAGGTAATCTAAAGTGTTTAGTATAAAACCTGGCACATAGTAATTTGCTTAGTAATTGCTGAAGTTTTTATATCATTCACTATGGGAAGGACTTAATAATAGGTCAGACTGTCACAAAATGGAATTACTGATTTTATTTTTATTTATTTATTTTTTGAGTTGGAGTCTCACTCTGTCACCTAGACTGGAGTGCAGTGGCCGCTCCCGGCCACTGCAGCCTCGACCTGCTAGGCTCTGGTGATCCTTCCACCTCAGCCTTCCAAGTAGCTGGAACTACAGGCGCTTGCTACCATGCCTGGCTAATTTTTGATTTGTTGTAGAGATGAGGTCTCGTCAAGCTGCCCAGGCGGGTCTCGAACCCGTGGGCTCAGGCACTCCACTCACCTCAGCCTCCCAAAGTGCTAGGATTACAGGCTGAGCCACCGAGCCCAGCCCTACTGACTGTTTAAATGGGTATATTTATTTTCATTATGAATGTTGAAGAGAAATTCAGGTAAATGTCTCTTAGAATTATCACAGTGGACATTGTTTCATTGAAAAAGAGGTTAGGCCAGGCACAGTGGTTCACACCTGTAATCCCAGCACTTTGAGAGGCTGAGATGAGAGGATTGCTTAAGCCCAGGAGTTCGAGACCAGACTGGGCAACATAGTGAGACCACATCTGTACAAAAGTTATCCAGGAGCAGTGTGTGCCTATAGTCCAGCTATGTGGGAGGCTGAGATGGAAGGGTCGCCTGAACTTGAGCCCAGAAGGCTGAGACTGCAGTGAGCCGTGATCATGCCACTGTCCTCCAGCCTGGACAACAGTGAGACCCCGACTCAAAAGAAAAGGTGGTTAAAGTACTTGAATGTAAAACTCTTGGAACTTTTGAGTCCTACATTATATTTATTAGAAGAAATATTCATGGGAAGAAAATCAAAAATCATTAACTCCTAAGGAACTAAATCAGATGATAGTGTTTTAAATTATGTTTAATTCTCATAAAAACCCTGCAACTATCATTCTTCTCATTATATAAATTAAAAAATTGAAAATTGGGATAGGTATTTGACCCAAGTTCTTATAAATGTAATTCAGGATATAAACCCATGTTTGTTCTCAAAGCTGATACTCTTTCTAGTATCCTGTTTTTCCTTTTTATAAATATAGTAGTTACAGAACACCAATCAAAACATTATGTAAAATTAGGTAGCAAACCCACTGTAAGGTGTTGTTCACTATCCTCTCAGCTCTGTCCAGTAGAAATAGGCTGGGCCCAGTAGCTCATGCCTATAATACTAGCACTTTGGGAGACCAAGGTGAGAGGATAGCCTGAGCCCAAGGGTTAGGGATCAGCTTGGGTAACCTGGCAAGACCTCATCTCTATAGTAAATCAAAAAATTAGCTGGGTGTGGTGGTACATGCCTGTAGATCCAGTTACTTGGAAGGCTAAGGTGAAAGGATTACCTGAGCCCAGCAGGTTGAGGCTGTAGTGGCTGTGAGCATGCTATTGTACTCCAGCCTTGGCAATCAAGTAAGACTCAGACTCAAAAGAAAAAAAAAAGAAATAGAATGTAGGCCATATATGTAATGTCTTCTAGAGCCATATTTTAAAAAGTATAAATAAAAGATGAAATTAATAGTAGATTTTATTTAGCCCAGTATATTCAAAATAGTCTAATATATAATTAATAGAAAAATTATGATGAGTTATTTTAGGGTTTTTTTGTATTAAAATTTTCTAAATTTAGTGTGTATTCTTATAGCACATCTCAATTCCGACTAGACATATTTTAATGCTCAGTAGTTGAATGTGACTAGTGTCTACTTTATTGGATGCCCAAGACCTAATGAATTGTGTGTATGTGTGCGTGTGTATATTTTTATTCTGTTTTCTTTGATGAACAGTAGGAAAAAAGACTTGGCTGTTTCTGTAACTGTTAAAATTAAGAAATAATAGGTGTTATGCTTCTTTCTTGGTAAAAATAAATAAATACGAAGAAGAAGAAATAAGAATTTATCACCAAAGGAGATTTAGAATAATATTACAGTAGGAGGGGAAAATATTAAGGAAACCACATTTGATCTCCTAAAATAGTAATATCCTTGACTACCCTGTAGATATACGAAGGAATCCCAGTACTGAATTGTTGGGGAGCACTCCCCCTAGGAGGAAAAGCTCTTCACAAGTAAGTTTCTTGTAATTGTGTACATTCTCTTCATCTGTTCCACAGAAACAGATGCTAATCTGTTTATCGATCAGTGATTAATAGAGAACTTGTCATATAGACATTTAATTTTATTCTTTGTTAGCTTTGAGTGTATTCATCTTTTAAGAATTAAACTGGACAACCTCTTTCAGGTCCCCTCCTGCTGTGAGAAGTTTTCTGTCTTCTTAATAAATCTTACTTACTTTTTTTTCCAGTTAGAGTCTCACTCTTGTTGTCCAGGCTGGAGTGCAGTGGCACACTCGTGGCCACCACAACCTCGACCTGCTGGGCTTTTAGGTACTTTCTGCCTCAGCCTTCCAAGTGGCTGGAACTACAAACTCATGCCACCATGCTGGGCTAGTTTTTGTGATTTATTAGAGACGAGGTCTCACCAAGTTGCCTGGGCTGGTCTTGAACCTCTGGGTTCAGGCATTCCTCTCACTTTGGCCTCCCAAAGTGCTGGGATTACAGGCTGAGGCACTGCGCCCAACCATAAATCCTACTTTCAAAAAAAAAAAAGACTAAAACCTTTTTATTTAAAGCATCATAATCTATTATGTAGTAAAAGTATCAAATAAGAAAAAGTATCAGTTGCAGTATTTCAATTCCAATGACTTATTTTTTTCTGTTTCAGGGAGTTGGAAACGCAACTATTGGAACAATGTACTGTTGACACAGGTGCCGCTAAAGAACAGAACCTTCCTTCAGTGATGGGTAGATTCATTTTAAGCTATTTAAGGATGGTTTACACTTTCTTTTTATTTCTTCAAGTTAAATTTTAGTCTTTGCTCCATTGTCTAGTTATTCTCTTTTCTTCCTATACCAGGCTGATGACACTGCTTCAACTTTAAGGTCATCATGGAGCTCTTAATCACCAAATGCAATAGTTTCGTTTTAGTCATTCTTTCAGAATGCTTGATCTTGTAAATCATCATGTACTCTTGAAACTCTTTCCCTTGACTTTCAGGATTCTCTTTCTTTATGGTGTTCTATTATTTCTCCAACTATTCCTTCTTGGTTTCCTTTGCTATTGCTTTCTTTACTGGTGTTCCATTAGGGATCTGTGTTTTGTTCCTTCTTTCTTTCTACTGACTTTTAATGGATGATCTGTCTCATCTGCTCCCATGACTTCCACATCTGTATGTTGTTGATTCCTAAATGTATCACTGGGCCTGACCCTTCTTCTGAACTTGATACTCATACTTCCAGCCTGATCCTTCTTCTGAACTTGATACTCATACTTCCAGCTGATTATTAGATATACACTGTGCATGTCATTAGTCACCTCAAATTTAAGACTTCCAAAAGTGAGCACATTATTTCTTTACTAAAAGTCTTTTCAATTGCCATTATTAGGTAAACAGAATGGCATCATTATCTTTACCATCATTAGGTAAAGAATACCGCATTTTACAAAACTGGGGGTTATGATATACTTTCAGTTCTTCCTTAGAAATCTTTTTAAAGTTTTACCTCTTTTTTCAGCTTCTACACCACCAAGCTGAATTTCTTGCTTGAATTATTGTAGGAGCTTCCTCTTTAGACTTATTCAGTCTATTTCATATAGTTACCAGGAATAACTTTCCATAAAGTAAAAATACAAAGTTAAAAATCCAGATTATCTGTTTGATACACGTTTCTTCAAAAATCTGACTTTGTTCTATCCCTTAGCCTTAACTTACTAAACTCTACCCCTTGTTCCTTATTTCAGCTACAGTAAACTTCTTACAGTCTTCCAGGCATTGTGAGTCCTTGCACAGCACTATGCCTTTATTTATTCCATTTCTTTCTTTTTTTTTTTCTGAGTTGGGAGTCTCACTCTGTCACCCAGACTGGAGCGCAGTGGCTGCTCCCGGCCACCGGAGCCTCAACGTGCTGAGCTCTGGCAATCCTTCTGCCTCAGCCTTCCAGTAGCTGGAACTACAGGCACGCGCTACCACGCCCGGCTGATTTTTTGATTTAGATGAGGTCTCGCCAAGTTGCCCAGGTGGCTCTCGAACCCGCGGGGTCAGGCAGTCCACTCACCTCAGCATCCCAAGGCACGGAATTACAGGCTGAGCCACCGAACCCAGCTATTCCATTTCTTTACTTGGGATGTTTTTCTTTCCCTAGTTGGGTTTTGGATACCTCTACATGACTCAGTGGGAATGTCATCTTAATTGTGACATCCTCCTCATCATCCCTAAGCAGAATAAATTGCTCTCCTCTCTGTTAAACTGTAAGCAATATTTGTTTTAGTTCATATGACATATTCTCATTTGCCTATTAATTTACTTGTTTCCCAATATACTTTGTGTATCCCTGACTTATTTATCAATCTGTAGCACCTAGTATAGTGTCTAGGCACTGAATATATGTTGGAATGAGAAAGGTAGGTTTTCAGGACTATTAACCTTACGTACCATGTTTTCCTGTTGTTCCTTATTGATCGTTAAGATAATAGGATCTTTCATTCCGTAGATCCAATTATAATTTTTCTAATCCAGATAAAATGACAGTTAACATGTAATACATAAAGGGTCTCTAAGAGATGATAAGTTGGTGTTGGTGTAGCATCATAAGACATTTAAAGATTTTTTTTTTTTTGAGTTGGAATCTCACTCTCTCACCCAGGCTGGAATACAGTGGCACGTTCATAGCAACTGTAGCCTCCACCTGCTGGGCTTAGGCGATCCTTCTACCTCAGCCTTCCAGGTAGCTGGGATTATAGGTACACGCTACCACGCCCAGTTTATTTTTTGACTTATAGAGACGAGGTCTCACTAAGTTGCCCAGGCTGGTCTCGAACCCCGGGCTCAGGCAACCCTCTCGCCTCGGCCTCCTGCTGCACCTGGCCAATATTTAAAGATCTTTAATCCTGATTATAACATTTCCACAAAATTATAAACCATACATTCTTTTTTTTTTCTTTTTGAGTTGGAGTTTCTGTCACCCAGACTGGAGTGCAGTGACGCACTCCCAGCCACTGCAACCTCCACCTGCTGGGCTCCGGCGATCCTTCTGCCTCAGCCTTCCAAGTAGCCGGAGCTATAGGTGTGCGCTACTACACCTGGCTAATTTTTTTTTTTTTTTTTTTTTTTGAGTTGGAGTCTCACTCGGTTGCCCGGACTGGAGTGCAGTGGCCGCTTCCGGCCACCGCAGCCTCACCTGCTGGGCTCCGGCGATCCTTCCACCTCAGCCTTCCGAGTAGCCGGAATTACAGGCATGCGCTACCACGCCCGGCTGATTTTTTGATTTATAGTAGAGATGAGGTCTCGCTGCCCAGGCGAGTCTCGAACCCGCGGGCTCAGGCAATCCACTCACCTCAGCTTCCCAAAGGCGGGGGATTACAGGCTGAGCCACTGAGTCTGGCTCTAATTTTTGATTTATTGTAGAGATGAGGTCTACGCCAAATTGCCCAGGTGGGTCTCGAACCCGCGGGCTCAGGCAATCCACTCACCTTAGCCTCTCAAAGTGCTGGAATTATAGACTGAGCCACCGAGCCTGATCAGCTATACATTCCTAGATAGCCTTTCTTTAGTCAACTTTTTTTTTTTTTTTTTTTTGAGTCAGGGCCTCACTGTCACCCATGCTGGAGTCAGTGGTACCATCACAGCTCACCACAGCCTCAACCTTCTGGGATCAGGCTAGCCTTCCACTTCAGCTTCTTGAGTAGCTGGGACTAAAGGTGTGCACCACTATGCTTGACTAATTTTTTTTATTTCTTGTAGACACATGATCTTGCTATGTTGCCTAAGCTGGTCTTGAACCCCTGGGTTAAAGCAATCCGTCCATCTTGGCCTCCCAAAATGCTGGTATTACAGGTGTGAGCCACCACACCTGGGCAAACACATTTAAAATGTCTCTTTTCAAGGTCCTTAGCAAAGATTAGATGCAAATCTTAGGTATACTTGGGTCTCCTTTAAGTGAATTTGTAGCCTCTTTTATTTAGTATTTAGAACCTAGTTCAAAAAAGAATGAATAGGTACTTTGTCATTTATTTTTTTTAAATGTCATCTTTACCTTGAAGGATAAGATTAAAAGGTTGTGTGTGATTCTTGTATTTATTTATTTGTTTATTTAGAGTCAGGGTCTCACTGTGTCACCCAGGCTGGAGTATGGTGGCATGATCACGGCTCACTGCAGCCTCCAACTTCTGAGCTGAAGTGATCCTCCCACCTCAGGCTCCCAAGTAGCTAGGACTGCAGGCACACACCACTGCATATGGCTAATTTTTATAATTTTTTGTAGAGGTGAGGTCTTTTTAAAAATACATATTAGGATAGCACATTACTGGCAAAGAAAGGTAAACAAACTTGAAACTTAACTTTTTTGTTTCAATTTCTGTGTTTTGTCTTGGCTTTGAATGAAGAATTTTCTTCCCTAAAGGCAAATTTAATTTTTCTATTAAACTTTTTGAAAAACTTATAATAGTTATATTTTGGGGGTTTTTTTGGTTGTTTTTTTTTTTTTTTGAGTTGGAGTCTTACT